TTTATTTGTTGTTTATTATTGATTTTTATTATATTTTAGTGAATTTTTTCATTATGTGATACTTTATGACTTTATTTATGACATATTTAATCTAATTTGTCAAGTTTTAAAATTAACAGAAGTGCTCATTATAATGAAATATGCAATAAGTTGGAAATTTTATGATAAAAAGTTATTTTGATTAAATTTCATTCCATTCCCATAAAAATTATTTTCTCCAAACTTTGGAATGGAATGAGCATTCCATTCCAAGACTTAATCCCAATTAATTGCCAAACATTGGAATGATAATACACATTCCATTCCATTCCCATATTCATTCCATTCTTGCTTAAAGGTATTACTGCATACCAAACGCAACATTAGTGTCATATTAATCTCATCTTCAAATAACCCGAGGCCCTACCCACTAACATAATCCCTCATCCATCCTGGGCAATTCCCCACTCTCTTACCAATACTACCTCCACTATCTTCACTATCCCCATTGTTCAGAGATTCATTTCCTCTATCACCATTGCCAATCTCACCTATATTTTCACCATTATTTCCAACTCCATCAGTGTTTTCATCTCCCTCACCATTATCACCTACTCCTGCATCATCATCTTCCCAATCTAAATTTATCAAAATTTGTTCTTCATAACTCACATCCCAATCCCGTTGTCTATCCTCTTCAAATATCATATCCCTACTCACCACCACCCTTTTAGTAATAGGATTATATAGTCTATATCCCTCAGATTCCTCACTAACACCCAAAAATACACAAATAGAACTTTTATTGTCAAGTTTAGTCCTCCGTACCTTTGCTACATGAACATGTGCTATGCAACCAAAAACCCAAAAATGATCAACGAAAGGCTTCGTTCCTCTCCATGCTTCTTCAAGTGTGATGTTTTTGACTGCCAAGGTTGGACATCTGTTCAATAAATAATTGTTCCAATTTACCGCCTCTGCCCAAAATGGTTTTGGAATTCCCTTCTCTGAGAGCATTGCACGAACTATGTTCATTACAATTTTATTCTTCCGTTCAGCCACGCCATTTTGTTGAAGGGTGTAGGCAGTTGTCAACTGCCTTTTAATGTCATTCGCCAAGCAGAAGTTGTTGAATTCAACTAAGGTGAACTCGCCTCTCCGATCTATACGCAGACACTTGATGGGCAAACCTGTCTCATTCTCCACCATTTTCTTAAAACACTTGAAATGACTCAATGCTTCTGACTTCTCACTCATAAAATACAACCATAATTTTCTACTGTATTCATCTATGAAACACAAAAAATACCTTTTGTTGTTGTTGGACATGGAAGTGATCAATCCGCAGATGTCTGCATGGATGAGACCCAATATTTAACCTGCTCTCCAAGAACTCTTCCTAGGTATAGGATCACGTAGAGGTGTTCACCCGATACTTTGCGTTTTCCTACCCGATATTTTGCGAAAGAATTTTTTCTTGGCCTACTCTATCCAATCAGGTGTGTTATTCTTATTCGACTTCCTACCCGAATAATCGTGTAGGAAGTCGGGTAAACACTTTTGTAGATATTAATTTTTAGATCATTTTAACAATTTAATTAAATAACATGCACTAATTAAACAACACAATAAATCTATAACACTAAAATCTAAAACAACTATAACAACAATTATAATAAAATATAAGAAAACATAAATATCAATCTATCATAATTGTTGCACAAATAAAAAAAAATTATTTTAAGTTTAAATCATATGAAACACATTAAAATCATATTTGCTCCAATAGTTTACTAGTTCACCACAAATCATGTAACCTACACAAAAAATAAGTCCATATTTTTACAACTCAAACATCCACAATAATAACAATGTTATAATATAAATTATACCATACCAATACTGTTATAATTACTAAAAAAATATAAAAAAGTTAAATATATTTTTTGCGAATAAGGTAGGGTAGAAATGCGAAAATTGGTATTCCGCATTCCTACCCGATTTTTGCGGCTATCCGTTCAGTAGGATAGGGTATGGTCGGCTAGGGTAGGAAATTGCAGTCAATCGAAAATTTGAACACCCCTAAGATCACGGTGAGGCTTGCCAACAATTTAATCTTTGCACAACTCATCTAAGGCTGTGAAATTGGGAAGGCCACGCACCATTTTCTTGCTCTGCAAGGTCCTCAAACCCTTATAGCTTAAGTGTCCAAATCTCCGGTGCCAAAGTTGAGACAGATTTTGTGAGCTTGTGTGAAGACACTCTTCATGTTGTTGCTGAGATATCATTGGTGATTGGGCAAACACGATGAACATCCTGTTTGTGCTCATGTCAGTCTGAATAATCAAGCCCTTATAAGGATGAAAGATCTTGCATACCCCTTCCTCAATCAGAATTGCTAAGCCTTTCTCTTGAAACTGCCCTATGCTCAAGAGATTATTTTTTAGCTCTAGAACATAGTAAACTTTAGTAATAATATGGTTAACACCATTAATTAGAAGTTTTACATCACCTTTTCCTGTCACCTCCATCCTGGTGTTGTTGCCCAACTTGACTAAATGCTTGAAGCTCTCATCCAGCCTTGAGAACATGGCTCAATCCCCACACATGTGATTGGAGCACCCCGAGTCAAGAAACCAAGCATATTTTCTTCTAGCCTCATGCAGCTCTACATAGGGCATCAACAACATCTCATCCTCTTCTTCAAGCTTAGTATAATTTGCTTCCTTATTCCAACTCAGACATTTATATTGAAAGTGCCCGAGTTGATGGCATTTGAAACACTCCACCGTGTCCTTTGTAAAAGCTTGTCGGCCTCTGCCTCTTCCCCTGCCCCTAAAGCTGCTTCTTCCTTGGTCTTTGCCACTGTACCTCTCTTCATATGTAACTTTAAGAGCTTGCTCGTCATTGTTGTGTTTGTTGAACTTCTTCTTATGAACTATCAGTGAACTCTGTAATTCATCTATAGACATGACATCAGTATCTTTGGACTCTTCAATGGCACAGACAATATAATTGAACTTATCTATCAAACACCTCAAAATATTTTCAAGCACAGTCACATCAGTCATCACATCTCCATACACACGCATCTTATTTGCCATTGCCATAACCCTAGAAAAGTAAAAAGTAATAGTTTCACCTAATGTCATCTCTAGGGTTTCAAAGTCTCTGCGGAGACCTTGAAGAGTCGACCTCTTCACTCTTGTGTTCCCTTCATACTTCCTTTTCATAGCATCCCAAATGTCTTTCTTCAGGATGGTCTCCATGATTAACATGTCTATTGCTTGGAATAGATAATTATTGACCCTCAAATCCTTCAGCTGCAATTCCTCATAACTCGTCAGCTGCACCTTTGTCAATACTGTTTCTGTTGGTTGCACGCACCCTGTCTCCACAAGATCCCAATATTGTTTGGATGTCAAGAAGTTCTCCATTAGCATAGCCCAGTGATCATAATGACCATTGAAGATTGGAATAACGGGCTGTGCGAATTTCACTTCGTCTGACATCTCTCTCTGTTTTTGTGGTCACTCAAAAACTGCTGCCCTCTTTTTTTTTCTTCTCTCAGGCCTAGTGGTGGCTTTGATACCAAAAATGTTGGGAAGCTCTGATGAAGTAAACAATAAAGGTCAATGATATTCTGGATGAAAATGACTTCCCCATCTTATTGAACAAACTTTGCTATATATATAGCCTTACAGTACTTAACAGAACAGCTGAAATTAAGTTCAAGTTTAGCTAAACATCAGCCAACGTGATTAGTGTAAACTGACCACTAACAGTCTCAACTAATCCTAAAGACTAGGGATTTATTTAACAGAAGCAAGATTGAGTAAACAAGACTCAGTAAACACCTAAAAATAAGTAATAATTATCCTTTCAAACGCTAATTACAACCCGAATTCTCAAGAACCGAGTGCCACCACCTAGTGTTTGTCAAATTTCAACAATTTCAATGCAAAAAAAAAAAAGAGCGGGCAATCTTAATGGCCATTTCATTAGTATAACATTCACGAGGTAAACCAACCACATGGATCCAAAAGAACACAGACTCAAAGGCCCTAGGACTATTCAGAACATTAGGGGACCATTCCTTACGGCACACAAGATGATTGTCAAAACACTACGGTCCAAGTTTCAAAATCTTTCAGAGATCCTTTATATCAACTAAGAAAAATTGGAACGTGTTAGGAGATACCTTTGCAACTTTTAGATCTTTACATCCCCAAACAATGGCTATTGTCTTCTATAATGCTTATGGGTTTATCAATTTGTACGACCAGATCTTCCCATATAAACTATTCTCGGATTCAGAAATACCATCAACAATATCCAAATTATTAAATTCCCAAATAACGTCCTCTTCTTGGGACAAAGAAAAGGATTGGATATGACTAAGCAAATCATCATTCATACTATGTAAAAGTTACTGTAACGAAATAGGAGAAACAGAAGAGAGTAATGATAACTTAAACAAAATGGAACAGCAATGGTAGAAATCACAAAAAATGTTAACTACCAGAAGGAAGGATTAAACAACGATGGAAAACAAGGAAAAAGACCAATGGAAACATCACAAAAAACGAGAAAAAAGTCAGACGAGGGGAGATACTAAGGTTTTTTTTCTCTTTCCAAGTCATCTAATGTTCTCTTAGTTGAAAAATTATTCGCACGGAATTTTCAAATAGTAATTGCCTTTGTTAGAGTTAGAGTTGTACTTGGTTAAAATTTCATGAATCACGTCAGTCAAATAGGTCTAGGTCAATGTTAGAAGCTTTGAAATTTGAAACATCGACTTAGTGTCTATTTGAAATTTAATGAAAATCAATTGCAGATTAAAAGATAAGACTCATCAGATTCACACTAGCTAAGATTGATAAGTAGACCTGGTGTAGGCTAATCGGAATGCAAATGACTAGAATTGTGTAATGTATAATTAGCCTCTTAAGTTTTAAATTGAAAAATATATTTTAAACAATCTAAGCAAGGTTCAGGCAACGAGGAGGCTGGTGAGGCAGATGCTAGACATTGACGAATCAGCGACTGCCACCACACTGAATGCCTCAGAAGGTGGTCAGGCGGATGCCATTGGATAGACTTGGAAAAAATGGGCATGCTTTCAGACCTGGTGCTGGTATGTTTGGGCGGCAACCGGGAGCTCTGGATTCCAGCTAGATGGTGTCTATAGAATGGATCCAATTGGTTATATGGAGGGCATATGGCTACTCTGGAATACGCAGGAGGTGTAGATGACCATTCTACAACGAACGAAGCATTAAATATGTCTATTATTATTAATCGCGTTCTCGATAAAAAATTTTAATTATTAATCTAACCATTGTCCATTACTCCTTAACACTGAAAAAACTCACCCCAAGTTGATAAACCGTTTTGGTTCGAAACTATGTAGCTAAGTCACAAAGATTTGGATGGACTGGTTCAATCCTGTTGGCAAAATGGACCACCCTACACCGTTTTCTTGAACAGCTAGCTCTCCTTATGATATATTTGGTACATGGTATTAAGTGTAAGGAATGTTCATGAATCTTTTAGTTTATAAAATTTAAATTTATTCTCATTCCAATTCCAATGTTTGATTTATAAAATTTAAAATTCATTATTATTTGAAAGGAATATTTAATCCCACAAATTATGATTTAGGTCTTACCAAATCTAACGTGGTATCCTCTCGGTAATGGCCCAATCTATCTAGAAAAAGAAAACCCCGATCGCTCAAATCTTTGGTTTGCTCAAATCAATTCAGTCTCTCTCGTCTCATCTCTCTCTCTCTCTCTTGCAAACTCTCATCAGATCTGCATCTCTCTCTCACACACTCTCATTAGATCTATGGCGTCCCCCTCCTTCCCTTCCTGTCACTTTCTTCGGTGAAGCAATGCACTAGATCCACGACCAAGAACAAGACCAGATCAAATTCAACCTTTGCAACAAATCACAGGTAATTTCTCATTCTCTTTTCATTACTGATCTTTATTTTCAAGGTTTCGACACCACCTACGAAACTAAAATTAGACCCAGTTCTCCCAACCATCCTCCATCCCCCCAATTTCGTTGTTTTCACATGTGTCACTTTGCGCGAGCTTTTTTTTACCTTGTGAAGTAAAGCTTCGTTTTGGTTATATTAAGGTTGTGAGTAGGAGCCGATTGTAGTTGACTATCATTCTTGTCTGGCTCCTTAAGTTTTGCCATGCTGGTGTCGAGGCCGCATTTAGTAAAATCCAGTAACATGTTATAGAAACTCTTTGACGTTTGGCCTATAGTCATTGTGAATCAATGGCAATTACCCCGTATCTTTTGTAGTTTTAACTTTATACCTCTATACCTATCGAAATTTTGTTCATCAAACCTAGACTCAACTCAACCCAATACACCGTAAGAGCTAATATGCATAATCGATGAACAAATGTAAATGGGTTGTGGTGATGGGTCTTGTTTTGAAGGTGTTTGAGAAAATGTCTGCAGAAGCATTTTCATTTTACTCACATAGATTGTGCTCTCAAGTTTAGCGCAAGGAACAATTGTACTCATTTTTGTCCCTCCGTGGCCTTGTTGGTCCACCTATAACAATGATGAACAATTGTACTGATGAGGATAGGCAGATTGCAAATTTCCTTTGGAAGTCAAATGTGTTAGCAAGTTGTGAAGGCAATGCAATTCTAGTCTTTGCAAGGCCTAATATAAATTTCCATGGTAATTTTCTTCTATGCTTTCAGTTGACTTGCCATTGATTCTTTCTGGTTGGTTTTTGGTTAGAAATATCCTCTTCAAGTTGTACAGTCTGTTGTTTTGGTGTATGGTTAAGTTTTAAAGGTCCATGGGGTGTTCAGCCGTTGATTCATTGTACAACTATAATTAATGTACGATGTAGTGTGGCTCGGAGGTATTCAGCTTAGCTTCTTCATTTGTATATTATTAGCCCATCAATGTGTTTCGATATTCTAGTCCATTGAGTTGCACGTCAGTATGCATTTCATCTTTACAGTGCTCAAGAAAATCAGGGGTTTTATTGTGGAAATCGTGGACATGTAACATTAGCGTTCAACATGCGACTTTAGTGTTGGGGTGTTATATGTGGTGTTCTGAACTTTCTTACTTTTAAAGTTCCTTCTTCTTGGCTAAATTGGCTTAGTAGCTAGTAGTATTACACTAGTCAGCCATGGCCTAACAAGTATCGATAAAGTCACTAAACAAGCATGTATTTTTCTTGAGCAAAACAATTATTCAACTGTGGAATATCTGTAATTCGTGTGGGTCACTCTAAGTAATACTTTGTTTTTTTCCAATACTCAAAAAAAAATCAAGGTTGAATGGGTCACCTTATTACATAAGGGTCATGGTGTATGTGCTTCTTTAGCTAAGTTAGACTATGTGGTTGGTTCTTGTTGATTCTTTCTTGTGGGTTTGCTAATGTTTGATATGGTTTTGGAACTTTATTCAAGGTCTACTTCCACACCTACTAGTGAGGCCGTGGCATTAAGTCGAGGGTAGTTCCAATATTGCATAGATTTACTTGCTTCACCAGAAAACTTCGGAGAAGACTTAGTGGTATTGATGCAGGACAATGGGGGGCTCCCTGTGTTGCGTTCTAAGAGGAAGTTGGTCTGTGAATAAAAGGAGGATACTGGTGTTGGATAGAGTGGGTAAAGTGCATAACTGGTGCTGTGATAGCTGTGCTGCACTGCTGTTTGCTATTTGTTAAGCTGTTGAGCTATGGTGCTGCTGAGCTGAGATGTTGCTGTGCTGAGATGCTGCTGTGCTGGGGATGATTAGAGCTCTGGTTGGAGTCTGATTTGGTTTTCTCCAAGATCAGTCTATCCCTGTGCAGGCAAGGCTGTTGTTATTGCATAACTGGCAACTGTTGCAGCTGCCAAGGAAGAAGAGGAAATTTATCTGATTTTCCTTTTGCAATTTTGAGATTTTTGAAATTTCATTGATGTAATTTTTTGGATTATAGGGTGTATTGAAGGATCAAGCCAATTTGGTTTGGTCCTCTTTGCTTCTTGTAAATTTTGTTTCATGGAATAAAAAAACTTTTTTCCTCAAAAAAAAAATAATTATGTTTTCCATGAAAAAAGTTATTCACGAAGGATTATGTAGGAAATTGATGAACGTATCACATTTCTATTTTTTTTAATTTGTTGTTTATGATTGATTTTTATTATTTTTTAGTGAATTTTTTTATTATGTTATTCTTTTTGACTTTATTTACGACATATTTAATCTAATTTGTCAAATTTTAAAATTAACATAAATACTCATTATAATGAAGTATGCAATAAGTTGAAAATTTTATGATAAAAAGTTATTTTGGTTAAATTTAATTCCATTCCAATAGAAATTATTTTTTTCAAACTTTGGAATGGAATGGGCATTCCATTCTAAAACTTAATTTTAATTAATTGTCAAACATTAGAATGGTAATACACATTCTATTTTATTCTCATGTTCATTCTATTTCTACATAAATGCATTACTGCGTACTAAACACAGCGTTAAAGAATGAAATATGATTGAGTTTGATTTTTTCTTTCGAATGAAAAAATGAGTTTTGGCTAGGCCACATGGTATCCAAAAACTAGTTTGTTCGAGACCAAACCCCCCAATCTTTTAAACTTTGAGAGGGAACTTAAACAAGAATACAATCTGTTTCTTGCGTAGGAGGAGAAATTTTGGGCTCTTAAATCTAGAATTGATTGGCTATATCAGCTGGGGATAAGAACAAAGTTTTTTAACATGTCCACACTTGCACGCTGAAGACGAAACAAAATCCTTGCCCTTATGAACAGTGTCGGAGGGTGGACCATAAAACACGGGGAAATTCAGGATTGGGTGACCGACTACTTCAAAAATATTTTTACCCCACAAGAGTTGATCAATATGGTTGCAACTGGATTCCAGTGGCCACAAATGGCCCAAATCCAGGAAATGGATGCAGCTGCCCTGACTTGCCCACCTGGCAACTTAAGCTAAAGAAGTGGATGCAGCCGCCCTGGATGCAAACATGGCAACTTAAGCCGAAGAAGGCCCCAAGACCGGCTGGATTTGATGCCATTTTCTACCAAAAATAGTGGAACATTGTGGGACCAAGTGTCCAACACTTTATTTCCAAGGTTTTTCACACTGAGACCATCGGTGAGGACATCACAAAAACACTCATTTGTCTGATTCTCAGAGTCTCGAACCCACAAACCCTGTCACCAATGCAGACCCATTAGCTTATGCAATACGTTGTACCAAAATTTGGCTAAAATTCTTGTTAATAGGTTGAGGCCCCTTCTAGGTAGGCTGATCCACCCTTTATAAGTCAGTTTTGTACCTAGAAGACAAGGTATGGATAATGTGGTCATTGCGCGGGACATAATACACACTTTAAGAAAGAACAAAGAGGGGGAATAGCCATTAAAATCGACCTAGAAAAATCTTATGATAGGAACCAATGGGCCTTTCTTGAGGAAGTCCAGGAAAAACTAAAACGCCCACCAAAAATTTAGAACATCAAATGGCAGCCCCACAAAATGGATAAAGGCCACACAAGGAGTCAGATAGGGCGACCCCCTATCCCCTTATTTGTCATTTTGTGTATGAACATTCTCTCCCACTCTATTGAATAGGTTGTGGAAATGGGAAAATGGAAACCAATCCAGGTGGCTCAAGGGGGAGCAAAAATTTCGTATGTCATGTTTGCCGATGATCTCCCACTGTTTGGGGGAAACATCAGATGAAAATTACAAAACCATAAAGGAGACATTAGAAAAATTCGATTGCATTTCGGGCCAAAAAATCAATGGGAATAAGTGTAAGGTATTTTTTTCTCACCAAACTGTGCAGTTGAGGATATTAATAGATGGGCTGCAATTTTAGTCCGATCACAACTAATTTGGGTAATTTTCTGGGTTTCCCCCTGCTCCATAAAAAACCCAATACAAGAACTTTCCAATTCCTAATTGACAAAGTAAGGAATAAACTAAGTGGTTGGAAGGCCAAATTTCCTCTCCCTCCCAAGAAGAGCCACACTGATCACATCGGTCATTGCATTCATCCCCCAATACTATATGTAGACCATGAAATTTCCAAAATTCATTTGTGAGGAAATTGATAGACTTAACAGGAACTTCTTGTGCGGGTCACGGATGAGAAAAGGAAATTGGATTTGTTGAATTGACAGCAAGACACTAAACCAAAGAGGTATGGGGGACTGGGCCTGGAACAGAGTAGTCTAAAAAACAAAGTGGTCATGGTCAAACTCAAATGGAGATTCTTACACGAGAAAGATAAGCAATGGGCCAAGATTCTAGAAAAGAACTACTTGGACCATGTTGGGAATGCGAAAAGAAAATCACACTCTTACACCTGGTCTAATATGAAATTAGGCCAACCCATTCTTTTTAAAGGGGTGAAATGGGTTATCTGGAATGGAAGAGTCACCAATCTATGGGGAGATAATTGGGTGGGACAAAGTAGTTTAAGAAGTCCACTCCACGAACCTCTCAACCGGGGATATAGTACACTTACGGTGAACCTTATTCTAAATCCAAATGGAACATGGGTTCTGGATAGATTGTTCTTCCCAATTCCTAGGGAATTAACCCAGAGGATTCAAGCCATACCTACCTGGAGAGACCTCGAGGAACCGTATAGTTGGGTGTGGGGAAACACTACGTTAGGACTGTTTCACTCTAAATCAGCCAACACTTTATCACTACTGGGATCACTTGAGGCTGATAGGGAAGGGTCTTCGAAATGGATATGGACTCTAAATGTAGGACCGCGAATACAACACTTTATATGGTTGGCATGTCAAAATAGAATAGCTACAAAGAAAGTGTTGTATAAAAAGAAAATTACCTAGGACTAGTCATGTCCACTTTGCCAACAAGGAATTGAAGACACCAGTCATGTTCTAATGAAGTGTGACTTAGCCAAATGGGTTTAGACCCAAGTAGGGTTCCCGACTGAACTAGAACACACATTTTCCCAAACCCTTGATATATGGCTGAAAACCAATGGAACCTTACACCTCATGTCCACCAAACATAATATTCCATGGGCCACATTGTTCTTACCCACATGCTCTAGCCTCTGGTATTACCGCAATCAGATGGTATTCCAAAATAACCAGGTCACCCCACTTTCCATTGCTCAGCAAGCTATTTCTAGAGAAGCTGAGTGCCACTTCTTTCAAACCGGAAACACCAGGCCACTCTAATCTGAGCAACTGTTGGGCTGGAAGCCCCCGACAGCTGGATGGGCCAAGTTAAATACGGATGAGGCAGCGCAAGGTAATCCAGGCCCAACGGGTGCCGAATGGATTATCAAACATGAGATGGGCAAATCATTGTGGGTGTGGGCTTCTTTGAACATATCGGGCTGTCTACCAGCTTAGCAGTGGAATTGTAGGCTTTTCGATCAAGCCTACATCTTGCAAAGCAACAAGGCATCCAACGCCTGGAAATTAATGTGGATTCTCAGCTTGTTATTGATCTTCTCCATAAACCAGACACTCAAAATCATCTATACAGTTCCTTGATTAATGATTGCAGGTGGTTGTTGGCCAAGTTCCAAGAGACACGAGTGACCCAGGCAAGGAGAGAGACCAACAAATACGCAGACATTCTTGGCAAGAAAGGGGTACAAGCAAAATGAGGGAATGCATGTCTTTATTGTTTCTCTTGATTGTATTAAGGAACAACTTCAAGCTGATGCTATGGGGGACTTATACCCCAGACTAAGACTTTCTATTTAAATAAAATAGAATAGTGTTATATATCTCAAATTAAGGAGGACCATTGAATCAGTGGGTCCGATCAATTTTTTTAAATAGAACTCACTGATCCAATGACCCTCCTTTATTTAGAATACATATCATTATTCAATAAAATAACAGTAGCTTTTCTCATCACCAAAAAAAAGCACAAGTGAGCCTCTTTGGTGCTTGCACAAGGTCATTTAGGATGAGTTTTGAAAAATTACAGAGGTGGTGTTTGGTTTGTGTCTCAACTAGTTTTTTGTTCTCAAAATACAAATTTTGTGAGATGTTGTTTGCTTAACAGTTTCCAAAAACAAATTTTCAAAAAAATTGAGAATTGAGAACAAAAATTGAAGAACATATAAATAATGTTCTCTCAGTTTTTAAGCCAAAATAAAAAATAAGAGAAACAACCCCTCCTTTTTAATGAGATACAACCATCGAACTTCTTTAGCAGCAAAGTACATTTTTTTGTCAAAGTATAAAAGCCCTCCACTCAAATGTTTTCTCCATCTCCTCTCTCTGCAATGATCTCTATCTCTCTCTGTAACGATCGTTGTGCTGCTTCAACAGAGCAACAATCCATGTGTTGCTTCAACGATCATTGTGTTGTATCAAACCTTAAATGATCGATGTGTCTTTTTTTATTTCTGCATCTAGGTTCAAGATTTGGTTTCAACATTTTCTCCCTCGGTTTTTTTTTTTTTTTTAGCATTTGGCTTCAGATATTGAAGGAGATACACACAGTGGGGTTTTTTTTTTTTTTTTTCAATCTGACTTCAGATCTTGAAGTATGTTGATTAATTTATGGGTTACAAATTATGGGTTACAAATTTGGGTTACGAATTTGATTTATGGCATCTTGGTTTTCTCTTGATCTGTTTTCTCTCTCTGTCCTCTACTCTCTCTCTCATATCCTCTCACTCAACAAATATATATACAGATATATTTATAAAAATATAAATATATATATATATATATACATATATGTGGGTTGTCTGTGTGTGTCAGTCTGTGTGTCTGTTTGTGTTTTTATAATGTGTGTATTTTTATTTTTTGTGTGTGTTTTGTGGAGAGAGAGAAAGGGGAAAGAAAGGGAGAGATCGGAATTGGAGATTTTGTGGATTATTATCCAAATAGATTTTACAATTTTTTGT